GACCCTACCGGATCTTTGAAGAAGTACGAGACGGCACATACCGCCTGGAAACCCCAGACGGTAGAAAGCTGCCTAGAACCTGGAATGTAGACAATCTCAAAAAGTACTACTTCTAGAAATTGTATAGCTTTTGTAAACTTCTGCATGATTAATGAGAAAAATTTACTACATATGCTTACATACGCCATGTCTTGTGCTTACCACAAGCGGCTCTTATTATAAAATTTCCATGCGCCATGTCTTGTGCTCAACACAAGCGGCCCTGAGAACTAACGAATCATCCGGTGACACCCATACGGGTGGATTCATCGAAGAGAACATCTCCCATTTGGGTGGAAAATTGTTCTAGTGATCAAACGTCAGGCGGCCCTACCCACCTGAATGATCCACCGCACCAAAGAAACGCGGGCTAGCATTCCCAAACATGCAACCGGCTCACTCTTTGGGTTAAGTACCACCAAGGGCTGGTCTCAAAACAGACAGCCGGTACCCAATGTCGCCGCCTGATCCACTAAGAGAAGGCAGGCCTCAAACATTTGGTTTAGGCCATAACCTATGCAAGGGTGTCCTTGCAAAAGCCCAACCGGCAAATGGACGCCCTAAATCTACGAAAAGGCCTTTACAAAAAGACCAGCCGGCAAATCAGTAGAACCCGGATGGCATTCATTCTAACGTTTATGGATAGCCGCCTGGCACCATGTCACTTCTGCCAGCCTCCTATCCAGGGGCAATTACCCTAACCCCAACCAGTCATGCGGAAACATACTTGCAAAAAGTAAGCAGCAAAATTTTAATTTTTTGCAAAAAAGTGCAGAAGAAATTGCAAGGAAATTCATTCAAAAGCCGGCTCAGCCGGTGAAAATGTGAAATGTTTACAGAATAAACCGGCACAGCCGGTGAAAATGTATATCAATACTCAAAATAAAAAATAACAGCTGAATAAGCCGACCCTTCCGGCGCTATTACAAAATAATGCACGGCACGCAGGCCGGGAGGTCGTTGCTATTCTAGCTGCACTGTCACCCGGTCAGCCTGAGCCTGGTTCCCTTCCGGATGAGCTGGGTCGGTGGTGGGAACAAAGCCGAGAGCAACCTCATCCTCGACTGCCTCTTTGTTGCCAGCCGCCTCCGCCTGCATCCGCAGGAACTCGGTCTCAACCCATTGCTCATAGGGTTCAGGCCCCGGCTTGCCCTCCTCCTCAGCCAGAATGGCAAGATCTGCGTATTTGTAGGCAAGCTCCCAGACGTTGTAGTCTGTACCCGGATGGATAATGGAGAACGCCCTCTTCATCCGGTTTTCGCAGTCCTGCTCATTCTCCTCAATGAGCCGGCTCTGTTCAGCTTCAAGAGTGGCCTGGAAGTTGCTCTGTGCAGCAGCCGCCTCTTTGACCATGAGGTCACTTTCCTTTTGCAGGCATACATTGTTCTTCTCCGCCTGGTCCAGCCGCTTGAGGGGCTCCTCATGCTTCTTGAGCTCATCTTCAGCATTGTCCAAGGCCACTTTGAGGTTGTCCGCCTTGGTCTTGGACTCAGTGAGGGCCTTTTAGAGGGCCTTGACCTGATCCGCCTGTCGCATGATTATAGATTTAGTTTCTAAGTCATGCACAATCATTGAATAGTAGGCAACGCTATGTGCGTCATCCGCAGAACGTTTGGCTCGTCTTTCCTCCTCTTGTTTGCGGATGTAGGCCTTCTTGAGCCCCTCCACGCGGAGCAGTGCCTGCAATAACACAGCCAGTATTAGTAGAAAAACCGGATGTGCATACTACAAATAAAATGCCGGATTGGTCCTCATCAACTTACATCGGCCAGGTCGACCATTACACGGTCGGCATTGAAGGTATTGATTCCAGGAATCGCCTCCTTCTCGTCCCGGGGGACGACTTTCAGCATGGCCTGGGCATACTGAGCAGCATCCGGCCAGCGTGGAGAATTATCTGCACCAGAAACAGACGGTGAGAAAGCTGCATATGCTCCGCCTACGGACAGTCGGCTGATCGGAGAATCTCCCGGCTGAGACTGGGAATATGACTTAACCCGCATGGGTAGGTCAAGAAGCGTGAGGTTGAAGGGGTTTGTACCTTGTTGGGAAGCTCTCTGGCCCCCGGCAGAAGATGGACCGGTTGTGGTCCTTATTGGGGTGACCTCTTTCGAGGCCAATTCAGCATTAGACCCGCCTGGGGTCTTTATTGTTTTACCGCCGGTAGTAGCCCGGGCGGTGGAAGCGGTTTTCTGCACCTTATGTGCAGGCTCCTCAACAGACGGCCGTGGCCGGATCTGTTTTTGCAGGGAGCGAGGGGTTTTGCCCCCATCCTGAAACAAAGTCACAAACGGTCAGGTGAAGAAATAGCCAAAATAGCACCACGAAAACCTAGTTAAGAAAGAGTCAGGCAGTCTAACCTTTTTAGCCGCCTGAGCGGCAAATTTCTTCTCCAGATTCTCCTTTCGGATATCTGAAGCCTTTTTAGCGGGTGTCTTGGCGGTGGGCAACATGTTCTTTGCTTCTTCTGCAAAACACAAATCAAATACATCCGATTAAGATCATAATAATATCACACATTGCAATCAAAAGAAAATTGTTAGCCGGCATAAAATTAACAGGCTGAGGCTGGTAACCTACGTCTTTCAAACATGCTGCTAAGCCCGCAGGCGGACAAGAAGCACTCGTCCCTAAAAAATTCGTGTTTGGGCACCCAGTTCTTGGGTACCCTTATTATCTCTTCGGTTGAGAGAGTGGAAGAGGTTAGCTCAAAAAAATCCGGAGTCCAATATAGCCTCCCTATCATTATCCGGCACTGGGGGCAGCCGGCACTTCTGCCCCAAAAGTTCTGGCTTCCGGTTGTAGGTCCGGAACTCCCTATTCTCCTCTTCAGTCGGAGCTTTAACCAGATAAAACCGGTTCTTCCAGTCCGACCATTTAGACGGCTTATCCAGCGTCATCAAGTATTGAGGATAAGTCATCAAGGTGTACCAGGCTCTCCAGCCGCCTGGGCTTCTACTTAAATAATGCATATGGGCAAACGCCTCCCAGCCGGGGTTGAGATCCTGCATCTCGCAGGCGGCGATATACCCGAGTATGTTCACCCAAGAATTAGGGGTGAGTTGCCAGACGCCTAGGCCATATCCCCTAAGTATGGCCTTTATCGTGTTGTGAAGAGGTAAGCGGAGCCCGGCTAGGAAAGCCGCTTCATAGCACCCAAACCAGCTGTCCGCATTGGGTTGGTCATCCTCCCATACAACCGTCCCATACTCCCCTGGTACTGACAGCTTGTAACCTCCTCCAAGCAGCCGTTTGGTGATGAAGTCCCTTAGGGAGGACCTCATGAGGGCCCTGTCCTTGAGAGAGACGGCAATCATGAGAGGGTCGTTTCTACTTTGCCAAGTAGGCCTCTCCGCCTCCTCTCTATCTTCAGACTCGGTCAGGTAGCTAGAGCTACTGCTTTTGATACGACCGGCATCAGAGCCGGATGGGGAGTTGGGATCCTCATCGATGGATCCTGGCAGCTCAGCCTCCTGAGCAGGGGAAGTATCCTCGTTGTAGGAGCCTAGGATGCTATCGCTTGGGGTGGCGGGAATGCCCTCGGATGATTCTCTAGCCACCTCGTCCGGGGCTTGTCTCTCAGGCGACAACTCGTCTGAGTTCCCGCCTCTGTAATTAGGGTCTATAGTTGTTCTCCTAATTCTGGCCATCGTGTCCTACACAGACACGGAGTCGGTCAATATAGGCGTTGAAAAAGGGAAATTCCAAAGATCAGAGGCGGCAGATCCAGTTCTAGACTCAGCCGTACTAATTGACCGACTGAGTTCACAACTATGTTCCGGGTATGGGTATAAAGGGTCCATCTACCTATGGGACTAATAAATAAAAACACAAGCAAAAGACGCAAACGGAAATACATGGAAAAGCAAGAAGGAATAGAGACGGTACCTAGAGGAAGGGAGAATTTGCTGAAACCTCAAGAAATTTCTTGGGGATGCTTGCAAAGACACAGATGGTCTGAAAACCGGCTGAGTTCTCTTGGGTACCCTCACGAAAATCCTTTGGTTGCTCGCTACAACACAGGCGGTCTAAAAACCGGCTGCTCTCAACTATCAAATTTTCGTCTGCTCACAACTCTCAAAAACCGGCTGCTCTCAACTATCAAATTTCCGTCTGCTCACAACTCTCAAAAACCGGATGCTCTCAAAATTCAAGAAATTTCGCGAAGTTTGTAAATGAGCTCTCGAGGGTGCCTCCTCCTATTTATAGGGTTTGTCCCAGAAGGCGAAGAGTCACGGCCCTTCCCCTTCTGCTTTTCCCTCCTCTTCCTTTAGTTAGAATCTGAAGAGGTTCAAAAAAATAAATAAAAAATAAAAAATTTCTCAGGCGCCACGTGGCACCTTGCCACGTCGGCACCTGAGAGGGGAAAATGTTTGGGGGTAAAAAACACCCCAGCCACGTGGCCCTATGGCTAAGCAACACGTGGCACCCAGCCATTGGTCAGCAGGGCTCCAATCCCCTGCTGACACGTGTCCCATGAACCCTAAATGGGTAACCAAGACTCCCCACTATAAATAGTGGAAGGACCCCCATTAAAGGGGCATATTCAATACATTCATAAATACATACACCAAACCCGAGCAAGATTAATTACGGAATTCTCCCATTACGTGAGAAGTAATTTCACTATTTTACGCACTCTTTTCCTCCTGTACGTAACTGACTTGATCGTCGGAGGCGGAGCTCCAACCAACCGGAGACTTCGTGGTTTTGCAGGTACAGGCGGTGAAGGGCAGTCTCGGAATTGTAACTCTCCCGCAGGACACATAAAAAAAACCCCAAAACAGATTCCTTGAAGATTTCTCATGTTACTCTTCATAATTTAAAGAAAAAGGGAAGGCTGAGAACACACAGAAGCAGTAACAAGCCAGCACTGACATCAGACCGCAAGGTAGCTAGAAAGAAATGAGTTGTCACATATAAACCCAGTCACAGCAAATGAGGACTCTACTTTTGTTGACATGAACCATGTCATACACATTGATGAGAAATGGTTCTATCTCAATCCTGATAAGAGGAGATTTTATCTCCTCCCTAAGGAGAAAAATCCCTACAGGGCGCAACAGACAAGAAGATTCAAGCTAAAGGCAATGTTCATGGCAATCATTGGGAAGCCATTGTATGACACAAATGGGGAACTACTCCAAGATGGGAAGTATGTCATATTCCCATTCACAATCAAAGAGAGAGCTAAGAAATCAAGCAAAAATAGAGCAGCAGGCGCATTGGTTATCAAGGCACTCCAAAATGTCAACAGAGAGGTTATTAGAGATATGTTACTCACTAAGGTCATACCAGAAATTGTGTCTAAATGGCCTGAAAGTCTGCCCAAAAATGTTGTCATTCAATGGGACAATGCAAGGCCTCACCAAATTCCCAGAGATGAGGAGTTCATTGTAGCAACAACAGCAAATGGGTTCAACATTCAAATTGTATTCCAACCAACACAGTCACCTAATTTGAATGTGTTGGATTTAGGCTTATTTAGGTCAATTCAGTCTTTACAATATCATTATTTTCCTAGCAACCTAGATGAGCTAGTTGAGAAAGTCATTGAGTCTTATGACACATTCAAACCTCAAGTCAACAAGTACATATGGGTGACTTTGCAAAGATGTATGATAAAAATTCTGAAGGCACAAGGTGGGAACAAGTACAAAATATCCCACATGAACAAAAAGAAAGTTGAAAATCTTGGCATTCTACCAGATTAAGTTGAGGTGAAAAAGGAAGTTGTGATGGTGGCTGTGGAGTACCTAAACACCATGTTTAGGCCAACAACTCAAGGCAATCAAGATGCAGAATAAGATATGGAGGTAGATGCAGACTAAGGGAATCATCAGTCCAGACCACAACACAAGAACAACATGGACTGCCACACATAACCACTTAGCTGCTTTTATCTTTTTTTTTTTTAATTTTGTCTGAATGAATAGGTGGTTAGGTGTATTTTGTTTATTAGGATGATCCAAACATCTAAGGCAGTCATATGTAACTTCTTTTTATCATGTTAAGGTCCATTTGTATCCACATTTTGATTGAAATGAAAATGATTTTTGTTGTGTGGCCAATAAATCCATCAGAAGAGTGTGCATGATTGTTGAATACAACACTGCATCACAAGGTTACCTCAACAACAATCTCTATAAAGGGATTGTTAGAGAAAAACTCTTGTTTGAAGTGTAATTCAATGGAGTCCCTTCATCATTTGGATTAGAAAACACCGCTCAAGTCAATGTAATGGGGGACTCACTACTTGAGTGTATCAAAACACAAAACATTGGGACTCCTTTATGAACAAATGTAACAATATAAAGGGACTGACAATGTTCTCTACAGAAATGATCATTGAGAACAGTCTAAGATGCAAACAACCCAACCTCACAAAACCAAGCACTCAATAGCCTCATCATTCATCAATCAAACTCCCCTAGGTACCAGAAGTCGTCGATAATCCAACACCAAATCATCAACATAAGTCAAACAACAATTTCCACCAATCACCACCAATATTATCCAACAATAGCCAACAACAATGTCCATCAACAGCAAACAACAATTTCTAGCAATCACCAACAATAACCAATAATAATTTCCAACAATAACCAACATCCTAGGCCCAACAATAACCAACAACAAGCACCAAAAATTACCAACAATATCCAACAACAATTTCCAACATAATCAGAAATAGGAACAAAGATCCAACATGCTACCAGAAGCAGAAGAGAGATCCAACAAGCCAACAACACTCATGAAAAATAATCAAAGGATAGGGACTTATAATCAACATCACATACAGTAAACAACACCAACAACGAAGCATAGCAAATATAGCCCATCAATAACCAACAATCATGAAAAAAAATCAAAGGAAAGGGACTCAAATTAAAAATGAAAGAACTTAGGGTTAGGGATCATTACGCAAGCAATCACTCTGAGAGTTAAACCTTAGGGTTCATCCTCCTCACATAGTGCTTGAAAACATGGCCCTGAATTTCATCAACTTCAAGGGGAGGGACGCTGCTGGTAGCCTTCTTTGAAGGAGGTGATGAACCCTCCTCCTTCTCAGGCTCATCATCAGAGGAAAGCTCAATACCTCCTTATCAAGAAGCCCACGGATCTGCCTTAATTAGAGCCACCAGCGCTGCCTTCCTTGTAGCCCGGATCTTAGTGGGAGGCCTAGCCCTCTTAGATCTGGGCTTTTTGGTGGGCACAGAACTCCCCTCACCACTTTCAGCATCTAGATCTACAGCTACATCGCTGAAATCAAGCGATTTCTTGCCCCGAGACTCACCCTGACCCTCAGCCCTCCTCAATTGCTCCTCTTCATCAACGCTTTCAAGAACCTTCCCCAACGCCTTGTAAGTCGTGGAAGTATAGTAAGGGCCAGACTCACTAGACTCGTAGAATTGACGAGGAAAAGGAGAGTTCGTCTCAATGGATTGAATGAGGGAGAGAATCAAATTACCCTCACCTTCATCATCAGTGGCCAAGTACGCTTCGTGGAGGGGTTCAAGGTTAACCATGTTGTTGGGGGACTCGATTTGTCTGAAGAATCAACGACAGATCTGAAGAGAGAGATTGGAGAAAACGAAGGATGAAGAGGAGAGTGAAAGTTGAAGAACAGGAACTAGGGTTCATCTGGAGAATTCTTCAGAAGAAAAAGGGAAACCCAGCCATCTCAATTAATTTTGGGTGGTTGGGAAGATGAGTAAACGAGGGTAGTTCGGGGGAAATGGGATGATATATGGAGGGAATCATTATATTAGTGAAATCATATTAGGTTTAGGTTAAGGTTAATGAGATTAAAAAAAAATAAGGGCAAATTAAGAAAATCAGATTTTTTAAGTAATGGTAAATAACTCATTTCTAGCATTTTTTTATATTAAGAATGGAAAGATAATGGAAAGTTGCACATGATCATCCATTTTTGGCAAAAGTTGCACATAACATTTAACTGAGGTAGTATATGGTTTTTTTTAAAAAAAACTACAAATGCTTGAATATTTTTATACTTCTAGTTTCTTTATATAAGAATATTGAATTGAACCCACTTAATGGGGGATCTAGCCTTACCTCTGTACTATTGCTAAAATCAGAAGATAAAAGGTTAGAAGTTGTCACTAAATAATTTAATTTATTTGGAGAGCTAATATATTGTTACTTCTCGATTCAAGTATTTCATTTACAAGTATATATGGTGTTTTATCAATAGCTTTAAGGGATGTACATGTGTTTTATTAGAATGAAAGTCTGATAATATAAAGTAGACAACCTGATTTGGAATGCTTAGTCTTCAGAATGAAAGTCTGGATTGACCTGGTATTTCGGAGGGAGTAATAGACAATTGAAGATCTCTAATTGTAAGTAAATGAAAATAGGAGTTTTGGCATTTATCTTCTAAGATTGTCAGATTTTAACAAGAATGATCAATAATGTGATAAAACGTATAGAAAGAAGAGTAATTTATTTGTGGATTGTAATTTTGTATGAAATTTTATTTGCAATGTTGATGGGAGTATCAATTAGTATTTTGAGATGTATAGAATAGGTTTTGTATTAAATGTGCTATAATTCTGTTTGATACATAGAATTTTATCTATCTGCTAAACATATCAAAGCGATAATGAATATTGGTGGACCATTTCTAGGCGTTCCCAAAGCTATTTCTGGACTGTTCTCAGCCGAAGCCAAGGATATCGCTGTAGCCAGGTCTCTTATCCTATCTTTCTTGTTTCCTATCTCATTTCCTAATGTAATTAGTGCTACATAAAAGGTGAATGATTTCCATATGGAGTTGCATATTAAAAGCTTAAAATATAAAGCCTGAAAACTTAAAACTCGTATCAGTAGATATAGGTTTAAACTTAAAATATATAGATTATGAACAATATGAAGTGTGTTTGATGTTTGATAAAATAATTATAGCGCCTATCATCTTATTTATTGGAGGATAGAATACATTTGTTGAAGTGGATAATAATTTGGGTATATAGGTTTAAAACAAAGCGGTAAAGAGTTGCACATAATAAACACTTTACGAGTGTTGCATAAGGTTGTTAGGTTTCTAGACACTGCCCTTGGAGCTGGAATTGGCATGTGATTATAAATAAATAAATACTCCCTCTGTCTCTTTATTAAGAGTCTGTATTCCTTTTTGGGGAGTTTAAAATTAAAAACCTATTTCTATTTTAAGGTTGTACTATTTGAGAATATTCTCCACTTTTTGATGAGTTGTCATCGGGTTTTTTTGTACTAATGATGATTTTTTACATCAATTTTCAACACTTTCTCTCTCCCTCTCTTCAATTATTCCCAACCATTTTTTTTCTCTCAATCTCTCTCTAACCCCACATGCACTTATGTACTTCCACTAATTTTCTTAATTCCCGTGAAAAAAGCCTAAATAGGTTCTTAATTAAGGGACGGAGGGAGTAAAAGAAATTTTGATATGAGGGGAAGATGGGGGATGCATCCACATTATCTGTTATTGTATTCATGAATTTCTGTCTTGGTATTAGGGTTATGAGCTAGTCTCTAGCTGGGCATACTACTGATGCTAGTGAATTATTAAGTTTGAACTTTGATAGGATTGGAATTGGTGTAGGCTAAGGAGTGTCATTAATTTTTTCTGGAATTGATGTAGGCTAAGGGGTGTCATTAATTTTCCTACTTAAATGAGGTAATTGGATATGTTAACTCTTTTCAATAGTGTCTCCTCAATCAATTAAAAGAAATAGGAAGAGAAATAGATTTATAGGAAAAGAATAATGCCTAATCCTATAGGTACTTTGTGAATATTGACTTAGGGGCTGTTGCGATTTACTGAACTGAATTGTTTATGAGAGAAGGAAATTAGGAACTGATTGAATTGAACTGAACTAAACTGATTGGAGCTGAATTGAACTGAAATTAAGCTGAACAGAACAAACCCTTATTTACCACTCATCTGACTAATGAGATAGAAGTCATCACTATGCAAAATTTAATTTTTCAACGAATAGTTGACAGGCAAATTTGTAACCTAACATGAATTTCAAAGTAGAATATGGTAAAACATAAAAAATTATCGTTTATCCTTGATGGCAGTCCAAATTTTTGCCTTCCACCTTATTTAACAATAATTGGCATTATCCTTCATAATATTTTGTTGCAACATACTTCAAAAGTTTGTTCAGTAGTTTATGAACTGAATATGATTGATGTTTGATCTGTTTGCTGGCTTGCTGCTACTCTGATGTCCTAACTCTCTTCATATCCTTGACGTCATGCTCCAATGCCCCCCAGCCCAAGGTACTGTAACATGCCAGTATTTTGGTGAGTGCCTCACATTTTCTGTTGTTTGTACAGGGTGCCACTAAAGCCAACAACCTTGCTAATGCAACCTGCCAAGATGTATGGACAGAGTACCATGACATCGGCATTCCTGGCATCAAAGCCATTGCAGATTATAAAGTATACACAGCTGGGTCAATATTAGATCTACTTCATTACGTGGCGATGCTCACTACACATATGGCATAGCTGATGATCTGGATGACCCAAAGTACAACCATTATAAATATTGGTCAAATCCATTAGAAACCAGGTGAGTTGTTAGGTTTCAATGTTGTCAGAATTCAAAAATCAGAATGATGTTTAACCGCTCGATCAATCTATATCTGCTCTTGCTTTCATATTAATCATGAACCAAGATTATACTTTATGACGA